GTGACGTAGTGCAAATATTCACGGCGAACAATAATTGTTCTTTTCATTTTGACAGAAACTACTACACCAGTCAATATACGACCTCGAATAGACACCATACCAGTCCAGGGGCATTTTTTGTCTATGTAATGGCCATCAATAGCTTCTTTAGGTGTCTTAAAGCCTAGACCTACATCCTTATACCAGCGGAGGTCTTTGGCTTTAACCTTTCTGCTGGCTTTTGGATTTTGAAAGATACCAACTTGTTTCTGAAAAGCCTTTTCGATCTATAGAATTTCAATGTAATTTTTAATTTACTTGTAAAACCAAACATTTACTCATAAGTAGTATGAAAAACTGACTGACTTGCTCAGACATGCTGCTCAAATATCCCTTAAGGAAACAGGCCACAAAAAGAGAGGAAGATCAAAAAAAAATTTTTTGATCTTTTATAGTAATGCGATTTATCTCATGATTTGATTGGTCAATCAATCAAATCACAACAAAAACCCACTATGCTATTTTGGGGATCAGAGAATTACCCGGCGTGTGGAATGGTACGTACATACTAAAAGTTGGTTTCGTGATCCTTTTCTCCAATTTTTAATTTTTTTGTTCAAGGAAATAATTATGGAAACTTCATTCCAACCAAGGATTTACAATATTGCTGAAAGGCGTAATTACACACCAAACTTTACTTCAAACGACTATGAAACCAATTTCTTAAATAAAGGAACTCCGTTAATTATTGATAACGGTACGCTTGATTGAAAAATCTATAAATGACAAAGGAATCTAGCCAAATGCATTTTTGGATTTGTATAAAAAATTAACCTATAGGCTGTATATCAATGTTTTATGATAAAAAACATATTGTTCTTTTTCGATAGTGAAGCTTACAGTTGTCACTGTCGGTTTCTTTTTTAATATAAAAAAAATTGGCATTGATGCAAATGGCTAATGAGCAAATTCATTATCCATTTAATTGCTAAAGGATCATATCAGTGTCGTGTTGGGTGGGCTACTGATATTTCACCAAGATGTAAGTACGAAGATTAAATTATAATTAGGTCGAAAAAGTTGGATTTTTTATTAAATTCATTTTATTTAAAGATTATTTTTGATTTTAGTACAATTTGATAATTTGGTGTCTAAGTATAAAGATCGAAAAATAAATCAAAGCGTTTTATTGGTCGGAAATGATGTTTACACGGACGCTACGGCAAAAACGAATGCAAAATCAGCGTTTGATGGAAATGTAGTATATAATTTTGAAACTATGGTAAGAAGTTGGGATAATTATTATTTAAAATAAAATTTATTATCTATTGTATTTATGTAATTATAACTGTTTTAAACTTGAAAGGAATCTGTTTTAGATTACATCTTTATCAAACTTGGGATCAATACCGATAGAGTAAATCATCCAATATTAATGACCGAACCTGTATGCAATCCAAGCCATTCGCGAAAATGTAATCAATGTTTCATAAGCCTATTTGATTTTTGTATACAGTTATTAAATAAATTTGTGACTCTTTTTTATTATAGTGATGACTGAGTTGCTATTTGAATGTTATCGTGTACCGTCGGTGTGTTATGGTATTGACGCTCTTTTTAGCTTTCACTTTAACGAATTATCCTTCGATGAAGGTGGAATTGTGATATCATCTGGCCATACTACAACCCATGTTATACCAGCGTTTGGTCGTAGCGTGTTAGGACAGACTAAAAGGTATTGTGCAATTTGGTAGACTTGTTATTTAAACCTGAATTCAATGTTTCACTTTTCTTAATAACATTATAAGTAATTTCCTATATAGGATATCATATGGTGGACTGACATCAACGGATTATATGTTAAAGTTAATGCAATTAAAATATCCAACATTTCCAACGAAGATGACTGTTAATCAAGCACAAGTTAGTAGTTGATAATTTTTTTTAGCTTTGTTATATTTGAAAACCTTATTTTTATATAATTGTGCATTTATGCTGTCAGCATCTTGTACATAATCATACGTATGTTGCCGAAGATTATTTCTCCGAGTTAAAGGAATATACAGATCCGAAAACATTTGCTGAAAAGGATCGAATCATTCAATTTCCTTATGTGCCACCGGTAAACAAACTTACTTTATGATGAATAGTTTTATTATATGTGTGATATGTGTGTTATATATTTTTTTTTGAAAATTTTTTTTTTTCAAAAGGCTAATGAAAAGAGTGAAGAGGAATTAGCCAGAGCAGAAGAAAGAAGGCAAGAACAAGCACGCCGTTTAAAAGAACAGGCCGCAAGATTAAGACATCAAAAGGTAAATCTTCATTAAAAAATTTTATGTTTATCGATAAAAGAAGCAACGAAAGTGACTCAACATATCATCTTTTTAAACTTAAGGGTATTCCACCTCCGGAAGCAAACCGGCCACAACCAGCGCCTGTAGTTCAAAATCCACCCCAGACTTCAGTTCCCTATAGACCCCCAACTAATACACCTGCACCAATACCAGGTTCATATACTCCCCCAACTAATTCACCTCAGCCCGTAAGTGAACTTTATAATTTAAAATTTGCTTTATTCGTGTTTTAAATAGAAATCTTTATTTGAACTATTTAATTCTTTAGCAACATAATACACCATACCGTCATCCGGTTTCACAATCAACATTACCTTATCCTCCACAAGGAAATTCTGCGCCCTATCCACCACAAGGAAATTCTGCGCCCTATCCACCACAAGTAAATTCTGCGCCCTATCCACCACAAGGAAATTCTGCTCCCTATCCACCTCAAGGAGCGTCTGCGCCCTATCCACCTCAAGGAACTTCTGCGCCCTATCCACCTCAAGGAACGTCTGCACCCTATCCGCCTCCAACGTCTGCACCCTATCCTCCAACGTCAGCACCCTATCCACCTCAAACACATCAGGGTGCGTTTTCGCCTCAAACATCTGCACCTTATCCGCCTCAGGGACCTCAAGGGTATCCAGCAATGGCACCGCCACCGGTTGGAGGCCATCCTCAACCACCTCCAAATGGTAGTCCAGTGTCATTTCCGTTACCTATACCAACACCTAATGCACCAGCTCCTAATGGTGGATACCCTCAGTATAATGCAGGTTCTAATTATCCTAATTATCCTACACAAGTACAAGGCGGTTATCAACAACCACCATATCCACCTAATAATGTTTATCCACCTCCTAATAACCAAATGTATCCACCACCAAATTTTGGCCAAGGATACCCACCTACAGGAGGTCCTTATTAACTTTTTTTTAAAACATTTTTAATTTTAAAAATTTAGATTTATTTATACTAAATATAATTGATGTTAATATGTGATTGATACACTTATTTTATGTACTTGTAAATTTATAACAAATCATATTTATCTTTATAACTATGCTTTTTATGATTAGAATTTTTATAGCTCATTTAGTTCATTTGTAAATGATTATTCAAATAAAACAATATTTAACACTTGCTTTAAATTCTTTAGCTTTAATAAACAACATGATACCGTATTGACAATCAATAATTTAAACTAATTGAAGACAAGAGTATCAGTTGAATTCGTACTTTTAAACGTTTACAATTTGGGATGTTTTGGAGTTAATTTTCTCTCAAACCATGAAATATCATGAAAAAATAAATTATCGATATCATTAAAAATTGTATTGCCAAAAGTTTCACCAAATTTCCATTATATTACATGGTAATAATCACAAAACTCATGCTTTATAATATACATTGCCAAATCGATGCTCTTTTATGTATTCTCCTCCACATTCGTTATATTCTTCTACCGTAACAGAATAATTCTGAAATTCGGTTGATCGAGCCCAAAGAGCTGCACCATGCCATGCATCAAGTACTGGATTTTTCGCATGAATTATTTGGAGTGGTGATCCAGCTGGTAAAATTGATCGAAGTGAAATTTCTAACCGTTTTGAAAGGCCCGGTGTTTGCGTGTGCCCTCCAGTAACAAATACAGACTATCATAATAATGCGTTTCAAT